GACTTCCATTTCCTTCCACATGTGTTTTAAACAAGAATCAGATTAGATTTATTTAATAGTCAGAATTGTACTTTTTTCCTCCTAACTTAGTTGTGATCAAATTGTTTCCTGAATACAATCTTCATGTCAGCTTTACTATTATAGCATACTCTACTGATAGTGGGATATTACTGAAACCTTGTTCACATACAACATTGACAGAAGTGCAAGCAACTGCCCCATAAAATGCATTAGTAAGAAAGCTTGATGCCAGGTCATGCACATCCTTTCCTAGCAAGTGTGTTTTATGTTTGTTAAAAACATGTGTGTTCCTATATATAAAATAAATATAATGAAGTATGCATTTATTTCTCCTCAACGAATATGTTTAAGGTCCACAGATACTCACAACCAAACTGAATTAAACAACCAAGATTTCACACTCCAGTTTAGCAGGCCCAAATAGCAGCCGGGCAAAACTACTTCAAATATTTCAAGTGGATGAAGGCCCAGGCATTTTAAAATAACCCAAGCCAAGCAACAAGACCCCTTCAAATACAGAAGGTGGCTCACATTGCAAAATAATCCTTGGCACAGGAGTTCAGCCCTGCAAGGCCTCTTTGCATGGCCCAACTGGACACAGTGGCACGGAGTCTGTCTTGACATGACATTAAAAACACAGACCGCCTTAACGGCTCTTAAGCATCTTTGTATTCCTAATGCATTTGTAACGCCACAGCCATGAACACTTAATAAAACGTGGAGACAGAATGATACTTAATAAAAATATTCACAGACTTTCTTTGGTGCCTCAAAAAACTTAGAAACTTGGCTGCTAATACCACAAGCAAACCCAAGTAACTTCTCTGCTTGAAATTACTCCCCTCATTCTTCACAGCCCTCTGAAAATAAGGGACAGGAGAAGGGAGAACCTGCAAAAGGCAAAAACATAGGTTAGCAGCTTAACAGACTATCTACCTTTTAAAGTTCTCCTGCAGGTGATGGGATGCTTATGGAGACGTGTGAGAATTCCCTAATGCTCTAGAAAATATTAATTCACAGGACATCCTCCAGTAACATTTCTACTGGCACATTACTCCATCCATAGCACACACATATATCACTGCATCTGATTTAAAAGGCCCTACTAGAGTCTTTTGTTTAAGTACCTAGCAAGTCCCATGTCCAGATGCCTCACAGCAAGCCTAGCTTCAGCCATGGCTCAGACTCTTCCACAGGATCCACACAGACTTCATAGAATCAAGGTTGGGAAAGGACCTCTAGAGATGGTCTAGTCCATCCCCCTGCACACGCAGGGTCACCTGCACACATACATTGCACAAACCTTCGAACAGATACAGCAGTAGTAAGACAAATTTACCACAGGCCATTTTACTGCTCTTAACCTCAGACAAGCAAATTCCTCCTTAACTGAGGGCTAGGTTCATCTTTTATCCCTCCCATCCACACAGTGCTCAGAGCTAAGAGGATTAATCAGAGGGTGACACAGATGTATTGCACTTGGTGTTTGTTTAAACTAAGCTCTCCCTGAGCTTCTCCTTCCTCACCTTAGAGCCTTGTCTTAAACTGCACGCTCATCTGTAAAAACGCTGCATATTCCGTTAATCCTCCATCCTGAGAGTCATTATTTTGGACAAGACTGAAATAAACAGTGGAAGGGAGTTGATTCACTCCTCACAGACAAACCTCTGCTTCCAGCTGCGCCCCATTTTACTTTCCAAAGTAAAATCTAAAAAGGATGAGCAAGTAACAGTCTTGTATTCAACCTAAAATATGGCTAAACACTACAGCTAAACTGTTTTCCCATATCAGTGCTAAGGCAGACACGGTTAAGTAGTGTCACTTATTAAATGATGCAGAAGTGCTGCTGTGAAAGGCACAAAGGGAAACCCCAGAAACCTGCAGGTACCATGTTTAAATGACAAAATTCAAAACAAAATGGCAAAGAAACAACCAGCTCAATTCTTGGAAGTCCAAAGCACTAACATTTCCCAAATCTATCTGCTTGGATTGCCTCAAGAACAGCAGAAACAGCAAGGCAAAGAGCAGCTGGCCAGCAGCTAGCTAGGGTAGACTTATTTTGCAAATCAGACCATTTAACTACTACATATCTCAAGTCTCTGGTTTTGACTCTTAGTTCTGCTGCACCACAGTGCTACTGCTCTGCATAAACAGTGCTCAAATTTGAAAAATTAGTGCTTAAAAATACTTCCTAAACACTGTAATTCTGAATCCATAATGACTAACAATCTAATTCAGATTTTAAAAAATCACCTCTTTGAAATAGTGTTATATGTCTGTTGGTTAAATATTTAATAATTATTTAAATTCTATACTTTCTAGTTTTGGAAATATCTAAATTAGGCAAGTAAAGAATGATTTTAAATTCAAGTGCTGGAAATGCACATTTTGTGCGCTACATTTAATTTTATAGTCTCCAAGAACTATTACAGTTTTTAATAAACTTGTATCTGGGATTTGAAGCCAAACACTTATGCTCAAAAAGCACAAATTTATTAAATAAAAGACACCCAAAGTGGTAATAAAACATATTCCCCCGTGGTATATTGCAAATGGGCTGTAAAAAATACATTTTACTAATCCAGCTGCAATTAAAGAATAACAGCTGTCCCATTTGCATTGCAATGCCCCACTTTCAAGGAGATGACAAATATTGTTCATTATTCATTATATATTGCTGATTGGCAAACATTTTTTTTAGTCCAGTAGTGATGTCCCTTGGGCCTGGCTGCTTCTCTATGACTGCAAACCAGGTTCTCCTGGTATCATGGGGTTTGCAAATACTAAGAGTCTTTTTTCCCCCCTCTAAGATGTTCCACATTTCAAAGGGAATGATAAATTTCTGCTGAAGCCAACAAAACTAAGTAACACACACTTGTACAGAGAACTATCTGGCTAGCAAGTTTTTAAAAGTGTTATTTACAGTGGCTTATTTTTCCGCAGTTAATAAGCTAGTATCACAGCCGCCGTCTTTTTGTTGACAAAAGATGATGAAGTGTTTGGCAGGTGAAAAATGTTAAAATAGTGGGTAAAATTAGCCAAGAAACAACTAACTAGTAATACCCATTACCAAAAAAACAAAGGTAATTAAAGTAACTTTTATTTGGAATAAATTAGTACTGCATACAGTAACTGAATTATGGTCATGATCCTAATCTAACAAAACTTCTACATGAGCCATGCTCTGACTTTACAGTTGATGTACATATAGGGCTCTGCGTGCTCTGTAAGCATTAGAAGAATTAGGAAAAACATTACAACAAGGTAAAAATTTGCATGATCTCTGCAAAGAGATACAAAGCCACAATAGCTCTATAAATGTAGTGCAATATATAATAATCATAAAAATCAGCATTCTGTTGTGCACATCAGAAAATTCCAACCAGCTCAGTCTGACTATGGTCTTAATGGTTCTAGCTTCAACAAAAAACACTCTAGAAAAGCTTAAAAGATTCAGTTTAAATGAAATATTATCCACAGTTCACACTACGATCTTTAAGTAATACTAAATTAGTTTTTTATGGGTTTTCTAACCATCTAGTAAGAACAGCACCAACCCCAACCTCACGTAAGTATCATGCAGAAGTCTTAAGCCTTATGTTGTAGATGAAAAACTGTAAGGTTGGTAAGCACTTGAAAACCTGTGATGGGAAAAGCACACAAAGGGCAAAAAACAAGCAGCTATTTGTTTTCACATCTAAAGTCTAACAACATAAAACATTCAGGCATATCTAGCAACATAAACAATATTTGAGAATTGCACTTTACAAAAATAAACAGTTTTAAGACTTTGAAGAGTTTGTTATAAACATATCTCAAATACGGGCGCAGAGTCTGGTTTATCACTGTATGTATTTCAGGAAATTATTTCGATCTAGATAAGCAGCCAGGGGAATGCTGATGCATTAAAAGGACTTTGCAAAGTTACAGCAGCTGCACAAGCAGCAGCAAAACCAGCCGGCCTGCAGGCTGCACAGCTCCCTGTGCACCGCGTCTCTGTGCTCAGGGCCTTCTGCAGCAGATTACACCAAAATTCCTATTAACTCCACCTGACTGGGAATGGTGGAGCACTTGGGCTAACTGTGATGCCCCTGAGCCCACTGATGCTGTCAGGATAGTTTGGTGAAAATTTAGTCACCCAAATTTAGGTAAAAATGCTGCCGTATACCACATTTCACCTATAAATATACAATTATCTCCCGCTCTTGCCACAGTGTAAGGTGAACTTACCAGACCAGCAGTAAAATAAAATAAAAATTTGTTTAATATGGGCACAGCTTCCTAACAAAATGAAGTTTTTCCCCTTCATTTTATCTTCTTAAATACATAAAAAGCCAGCCTCATCACTCTTCCCCTGCTTGTCACTTTTTCTCTTCTTTCACAAACAGTCTCTAGTCCACGCAAAAAAATGACTTCCCTACATACTCTCAGACACTCAGTGATGTTCACTGGAAATGGCAACAACTACATATCTGTTCTTTACAAGTGCACAGAAAGCAAATAAATGGCAGGTAATGAGTCTGTCTGGAGGACCTGCTCTTCCTTATTGCAGGAGTAGATTTATCATTTCTTACTGATAGAGCAGAAATCACCATTCCAGCTGGTATAAAAATACAACCTAGGCAGCTGTAACAGTGCCATTTACTTATGAAGTATTAGTAAGCTTTTTTTTCGTTGTACCACATTTTATAATAGTTCAGACTGACAATTCCTATTCACTGAGTAGAGTAAGTGGTTTCAGAGAGTTTCCTTTGAGATCCCTGGAAAAAGCTTTCACCTGCAGGCAGGAGGAGTGGTCAGCAAATACACTTTTACTCTCAAATATTCCAAATCCCACACTGAATTAGACGATCTGTAAAAGTTTTCATGAAGACCTAATCGAAGACCTTTTGTCCTTGTAAAAGGTGTCTCCCTCTCTTTGCTGAAATCCCGCTAAATCCATCAAAAGGTCTATGCGGACGTGACAGGCTGCCGAGCTTTCTGCTGCCTTCAAAACCCGCCCGCGCTACGACATTTCCAGGATCTGAAATGCCTGTTATGAAGGTTTCTTGTTGACCCAAAGCAGCTTCACAGCATGTTACATCTGAAACTGGAGGAGAGTACAGCAAAGACTGCCAATTTCCAGAGCTTCTGAGGGAAGGAGCAAGGGACATTACAGACCTAAGACCAAGGCAGAGAGAAAGGAAGAAAAGAGCAAGAAAAAGGCATTTAAGCAGCAAAGGAAAAAAGGGACAAAATGTTGACTTTCCTTTGTTCACAGAAATAAAAGTCATGCAAGATGTTAGATGAATGGACAGGGCAATTTTTAATCTGAATACCTCAAAACCACATTTACTACTTGCCACATGAGCTCCAGTACATGTGCAGCCCTGCTCTAGTCCAGTATTTGTGTTACTTCCAGTACAATCTTATTAGAAATTTTTGACAATAAATAGATGACTGGTGGTTATTTTGTAATGAAACATGAGTCATGAAATGCCATTTCAAAGCTACAAACTACACCGACCACAAAGCTAGCTAAAAAAGGAGTGTTCCTTTTCCCCAAATTTTGCATTCAAACCCTAAACTGATTTCAGCACAGCTCCATTAACTTATTAGGCAGAGTCTTTGAAGCCTGTTGTGTGTCCTGAGCACAAACGTGCACAGAGCTAAGCAAAGCTCTCATCAAAAAACCTACATTTTACAGACTGTCAGGGAAGAAAGGAAAAGATCTCAGTACGTTCCTTCTACTCGTAACACCTTCTCCTCAAAAGCAAGTATGTCTTCAAAATAGCAATGATCTGAGCTGAAAGGAGCAGCTCGCAGCAGACCCACCTTGCAGCAGAGCGCACAGGACCTGCCCGCCAGGACTGTCCCCGCGCTCCTTGTCCCAGGCCGTGCCGAAGGGCACAGGGATAAACTCTTCCCAAAGCCAGGCAGAACTTATTTACTCCATACAAAGTTCAGCATGAGCACGGTGGCTGCTCAGGGAAACACTTTTAAAGGACCTGAAGCGATGCCAGCACTTTCCATTAAGGGAAACGTTTGGAGGCTGTGGATAAGCTGGGGTGCGAGGAGACCCAGCGGGCTCCGGCGCATTAGAGCCGCGTGGGTCCCAAAGCCGGCGCTCCGAGAACCCCAACGCAACAATAACGCGCTTGGCACGGGGCATGTCCTGCACATTGATGACCAGCAGGGCTTCATGGACCACGGCGTGGGCAAGGGCCATTAACCCCAGGCCATCAGTAATCCCTAGGAAATGCCCCATGCCAAGATCATTTTCTTATTTCAAAATGAAAAGCAGCAGAGACTAGGCCTCTTTTTCCTTTTTTTTTTCCTCCTTTCCCCCTCCTTCCCCCCCACCTTTTCTTTTAATAAACGATGGTATTCAGCAGGTATCTGCAGGGTTTATCACCTATGTAACTTAACCAACTATAGCTTGTATAGGTTGAACTCCAGGTGTATAGTTCAGCTCATGTTTAACTCATGTAAGTACACAAGAGCAGAGCCCAGGCCAGGCACAGGACCCCGGGCTTTAAAGAGTCCTTGCGTTGTACCCACAGCTGAAAGCACCTAGGGTAGGGCTGCACCTCCATCCCTTAACCAACCCCAAAAAACCACTGACCTTCACTTACACAGTGAGCAAGGTTGCAGTGAGCAACTGGGCACAGCTTCCATAAAAACAGGGACACGTATCTGTCCTGTCTGAGCTAAAACACCCTAGTTATTTACTCTACAGTTGATTCACTTCCCCACACTTTACATAATACATCAAAAGAGGAAGAACAGCCATCATACTCATTGCCACCATTGTTGCTTCAACTTGCTGGCACCTCACACTTCCCAAAACTGACGTCCCAGAAGTCACCCTACCAAAATAATTCAAAACAGTCCAATTTACATGGATGATTTCCTAAAAGCTGTCAGCTTATAGCAAGCAGATATAGATTAGTGTAGATGCAAAATAAACAAGATAAAACAGAATAGCAAACCCATGTTTACAAGCTGACCTGTCACTATGAATAAAACATCTTTAATCTTTTGTTAATAGGCAATTCAAGGTGCTTCACTAAGGTGTTTCATCAACACAGATAACAAAAAAAAAGGTTTTCCTCAGAGCTCCGAGCGTGTACTTTTGTGTATTTATGGTATTTGCTACAGCAATCCTTGCATAACTTACAGTCCTGATATTTATCCACAAGTGCCCTTGAATACAACCATTCTGAAGGTAGGAAACTCCAGGAATGATTTTTCAGAAGGTTTTAGCAAAAACCTGACTTGGAGATGCTGAACCTTGTCAACAGTTCCTAGAGCCTATCACAAACTGCTTTCCTGCTTTCCAGGTTTTCATGATTGCTGCTGGTGAGCCCAATTCTGTCTGTCTACTGATGCAATTAAGAGATTTTTCATTCTAAGACCACCATTCTGTGTTTTACAGATGGGGAGAAAGGGCTTGGGAGAAAAGAGATCAACCAGAACAGAAATATTAAAAGCAATGAGTTTTAATATCCAAGAAGTTTCATCTAGTTTATTTGTAAGTTGCCTAAATTACTGAAATGGTTAAAAAGGTCCTAATTTCTCAAGAGCACTTTTTTTTTTTTTAAGCAGTCATTAATTTTCAGTGCCTGTGACAGACATTTGCTATTGCTCCATGTTAATGCTTAGCTGAGGGCAGTGGACAACCTAGCACCTCTCTCCCATCTATGTTTTCCACTTCAGAGCTTTAGGTCGTGCTTACTGCGTGGAATAGCTCCCCCTTGCACTCTCTTCCTCCTCTTCCATAAAGGGCTTTTTTCAATCATCACACTAAACAAAATTAGATTTTTTTATGCTCTAAACGAACAACAGAAGTGTTATTATTTAGCAGTAAGCAATGTTCAGTTGCAATGTTCTCTTGCAGTCCCTGATCCTAGGGAGGGCTAATAAGCCTCCTCCTGCACAAGGAGGAGAGGACGTGTAGTGCTTTGAAGCATCAGGCTCTCATCAACAAGACACTATGCGATCAAAGGCGAATGATCCTAGCACTCTTTACACAAGTGCTTGCTGTCCTCTGGTTTATATATAATTTACTGGGAATAAAAATAATTCATGAAAACAATTCAGGAGGGACTGAATAAAACCAGCAATGCTTTTGCAGGAATTTGTTGCCCAGCTGCTGCAAAGGTCAGGTCTTCCAACCTGTTGCTAAGCTTGGTACGTTTGTTCTCCCATTGAAAGCACAGCTGAATTATTCTGTTTAGTAACAAGGAATTAAAGAAGCCATCAAATAGCACATAATTATTATTGCAGTTTTCAAGGGATGCAGGCCGTATCAGAAATCAGAACACACTACCAATTTAGCTCTTTCCAAAAAGGTATCCAAAAGTCTTAAACAGATTCTCCATAAAAATGGGGCTTTTAACCTCCTGTCCAGCTAGATATTGCTTATCAAACTGGGAAAAGCAATACTAAATCTTCCACAAAGAAGGTTACCGATGGTCCCTCCTCTCAGAATACTTGCCCCATTAGTAAAGCAATCAGACCTCTTACTGAAAAACTGCATCTGTTGAGATACAGCTTTCCATGCTGACAAACCTTTCCTTCAAAAGGCCTGAAAAAACAGCGAAAAATATGCAAAGGGGAAAACTGCAGATCCTTTAGGGTCCGATTTTCCAGTTTTTAGTTCCATCTTCAGTATTGAATACAAGCTACTACAGCATACCCATTTCAAACAACAACAGCAACACATTTCAAAAGTAGTCCAAGCATTGGGACCTCATTTAAAACCAGTGTGAGAGTTTCTAAATAAGAGGAAGTGTTTGCGTCCCAACTCTATTTCTGAATTGCAGCGCCAAAATGATCCCCCTGCAAAGAGACACTCACCTGCACACATACCAAAGGCAACAAACTTTCTAATCTCTTTGGTTACGACAATATTTAACATCATCAGATTTAACAAATAATGGTTAATGGACCACCATACATTATTTCCCCCAAATTTATTTCTAGTAGCTTGGAATGACAAACTACTACATATAAAGGAACTGCATCAAGCTGCTGAAGTACTTGACTGCCTCAAAAAAGCATTTGAACATTGACCTTGAAGGGTCATTGTACTGCTGTATACCTTGTCAACTGTCTGAAAAGTTAAAAGTACTGGGTGTTTTGATGAATGAAAGAGACAACCTAATGGGATAAGAGACAAAATTCCTTTTATTTTCAAAAAAAAACATTAAAACTCCAGTAATTTTCACTATAACTATTTCTATCCAAGATAAACAACAACAACAACAAAACTTGTTTGCATTTTTTTTTTTTTTTAATTCGTACAAAATATTGTACAGATTCAATGCCCTGCTTTGGAAATTAGATATCAGATTTTTACATATTATGTTAGCCTGGAGTAATGGCACTGATTTTTGCAGACTTAAATATGACAAATCTGCCACAGGAGTTCAGAAAATGCCTTAAAACTCTGATGTCTAACCTTAAAAGACCTGCCAAAAACCTTACAGCGTGTCCACAAAAACTGCCAGCCACAAACACGCATACTTTGTTAATACACACTATTCAGAGAAGAAATCCTAACCTGAACGTTATTTGTCTAAATTTGAAATTGAAAGCTTAATATCAAATTGAACACAGTAATATTTACTACAATGCAGATTATTATTGTACAATAACCCGTCACTATTTAGGATGGAGATTTTCGCCTACTTTCATTAGTCTCATCCTTCATTAAATGTAGCTCTTGTAGAAAACACAACAGCCCTAAATAGGAACCAAGTTACTTTGATACAATAATGAGGTCACTCCCATTTGCACATGGGAATCTTTAATTTTTTCAGGTCAATATACTGGCTTTTCAGAGTCAAAATTAGAGAACACATCAATAAACTCAACAGTTGGCAGAAAATGTTCACAGCAAAGCTTAAATATTTATTCTTTCAGGGCTGTCTTTGAATGCTAGCAAAAAACTCTCCACAAAAACACATTAATAGAGAAACAATTCTCTTTGCTACCTGCAGTATCTTCAGTTATTTACAATGCTTGTTTGTGTGACAGGATTCAGGGTACAACAGGAACTTAAGAACACATGCTCAGGAACTGAGAAGTACAAATTCCAGATGAAACTTGCCAGGAATAATACACCCAAATTCCTGTGAAATCCTTCTTGTTTGTCCTCTGATAGGAGGAAATAAGTGAGAAGCATGCTGTCATCTAAAAAGCCTGTGGGATCTGCTTTCATTGACCTTTCTCCTGAGCAAACTCCCAAGTGGTTCTGATTCCTGAGGGGGTGCTGCTTTCTGTACTAGTTGGGGAGGATATTTAAATACAAGAAGGAAAAACAAGGCCGGGAGTTGTACAGGGTGCATCCACCTGGACGGACTCATTTTTATCCTCAATTTTAGGTGTTTTCCTGTAGCTTTGAGTTGAGAAGCAGCAAGAGAGAATTTCCAGAAGAGAAACCACCACGTTTCTTGCATGGGAAAGAGGAAACTTTGTTTTCTATTATATAGTTCTAGAGAGAAGCATTATGAAGGGAGACCAGCTTTCTAAAGCAGGTTGCTTTCCTAGGCATTATCCATTTTTCTATATCGAGAAGTCTATCCCTCCCATCCAAACAAGTGCAAAGGCAAATTGCACAGCCTACAGCTTTTGTCTGACTATCAAATATTCTCCAGGTCAAAGAAGTTGCTCTTTGAAGGGTGATGATAACTGTTGCAGGATGCAAAAGGCTCTGCCCGACTACTCTGCGCTCAAGAACCAGTGACAGCTTTTCTCCTTCCTAGTTGGGAAGTCCAGGCCAAATAGCACGCTAAGATAATAAGGAGGTGAAATCCGAATATTGAAAAGCAGCATGGACGTGACAAAACTTGCACAAGACTCGAGAAAGGGCAATGTTTCAGCACAACTGCAACCCGAGATGATTTAGGCAAGTGATCTAATTAGTTTCAGCATCTTTTTTCCTCTAATTTATCAATCTGCAATTACTGTCATTTTCATAATAATTTATATCAATTGTCATTCGCCAAATTAAAAAGCAGGCAGATGCTAAACCTCAAATGATGCAATTACATGTAAAAACATTACTGACATTGTGCATGTGTTCCATCCATCCATGACTCAAAGTGGACAGTTGCCATTCAATGTGCATGAAGACAGAATTTCACAGCCTTTCCCCCTACCCCAAGAAAAAAAGCAACCACCAGCATCATGCAGGAAATTCTCAGCTAGAGGGGGAAAAAAAAAAAAAAACATGTTTTGTAAGTCTGAACACTGATGAGTCTTAGCACACGGTTGATTTTCTTGAGCATTTTTTTTTAGTAAGAACTCAAATTTGGCAGCAAAAAATATATTAAAATCAGGATGTGACCCATGCATTTCCATAGGGGTGCAGTTTTCAAGCAGTTACCCTGGCTGCATGCAGGGCACAACTCGTGCTGCCCCTCGGAGCCCTTGGCTGCCCGGAATGCGGCTGGTCCAGGTGCTGCATCCCTGCAGGTACCTGCAATTGGCTGACTACAGAAAAGCTGCAAGTCCCCTCCAACAT